TAGTTTCTGATAGTTTCAGCAAAGATTTCAAACAGCACTGACTTAGAAAGTTTTTAATGTTACTTTTTGTAACTACATGTTGGAGAGGTGACAACTACAACCTTTAATAAATACTAGACAACCTTGTGACCTGTTGGGTCATCCTTTGAGAGAAAGGAAGTGCAGTGTGATGTGACCAGAATGAATATTAAATTTTAGGCTGACCATATTTTTTTTTACCCCATTGCTGGACAGTCCCATCTAAGAAGAGTATATATCATAAACAGAAAAATAATTGTAGTGGCAAATGAACTTCAATAATAAATCAATATTTACTTACCTAAACAGATAAATAGAATGAGGGTAAAAAAGCAGTGGGAGCGGGAGGGATCTCCGACTTCCTGCCAGCTTCCCTATTGACTTTGCTTGTGGGAAACTGGCAGGGAGCATCAGAAAATACGATCACTTGACCGTGGGGACGCTGCAATAGCCACAACTTTGCGAATAAAACTGGTCTGAACATTGTGGAAATTTCAATTCCACAGGAGTAATGGATCCCAGATTTTTTACATATTCTTTAAGTTAGTGGATTTTAGGTACCTTGATTCAAAAATTGTTGCAGTATAATGCCCTGTTTGGGCTAACTTGAGGGTACAAACAGACAAACAGATAAACACAAGGAGAGTTTTAGTAGTATACAGCTATGCAGTTTGCGTCTCAAAAGCAAACTTTATGGATGACCGAACTGTATCCCAAAATTAACACCAAAACAGAAACACAATACAGTACCACCAAGGATTTAGTAGAAAATGAACTTAACAAGTCTATTAATCTTTATTTAGAAGTCCAACAATGTTCAACAGAGCTTACTCCCAATAAATATGCATAGGATTAAATAAGATTTCAAATGCCAAGCTATTGCACCAAATATATCATTTCAGACTATCTTTTATCTATTTAGCATTTTGGAAAGATATCCATTTTACAAAACTAAATAGTTTTTGCACATTTAAAGTATAAAATCCTATCAATATCTTTCTATTCTTTCATAAAGAACACTAATTCACTAATAACTGGAACAAAACAATTTTTAAGAGCAACAGCACTATCCCCTACACACTGTACCTTTTATCTGAGTTTTGAAAATAAATTAACCATAGCATTGACAGCCCCTCTCCCAAACAAGACCATGTAATATGTTGTAGCAACCTCTGAAAAAGTTACCTTATGAACAATTTTGAATAACATCTGCTGTTTGGCAGAAAACAACAGTTCTCCTTTCTTGACAAAAAACAGTAATTTCAAGTCTAGGAGACCATGCTCTTATAAAAGTCCACAAAGTAAATTTGGACTAATTTATTATGGAAATAAAACTCCATTTGTCATCTATTATTGTCAGCCAAAACTATCCAGTGAAAGTGTCACCAAGGAAATTATAATTCTCAGAAATGCTTATTGGATCGAATATATTTCATATTTAATGAAACAAGTTGTGTAATATGGAACTAGCAGCTCTTTAAAATTTAAACACATATAATAAAACTACTGAAAGCCAGTTTGGTGTAGTGGTTAAGGCATCAGGCTAGAAACCAGGAAACCGTGAGTTCTAGTCCTGCCTAGGCACAAAGCCAG